ACATGGAACCATCAAACACCCTGAAATTCAAAGCAACCCTGAAAATACAAAGTATATGGAATGCATCACTGTCCTCCATTTGAAATTATATTAAAAAGCCAGTTATCTAAACAATAGATGACTGGCACTAACCGAGAAACCCAGATCAACAGACAGAATCAGGGAGCTCAATCACAAACCCAAATTCCTAGGTAGTGTACACGTTTTGTAAAAGAACACCAAAAGACACAATGAAGAAGGGGAAGTATGTTTAGTAAATGGATTTGAAAACTGGATATCCCTACGTAAGTAAAACAGGACCCCTATTGTGTAAAAAGACCAAGGATTAACTCAAAATGAATTAGAGACTCATAAACAAAAGTTGAATGCATCAAACTCTTCCAATGAGAAGACATACGGTGTGGGTATATTTAGGTCAATGTGGATCTGTGCTCACAGTATGTCAAAATAAAAAATACAGGGGGAAAAGCTCATAGGTGATGGACTAGTTTGGTCATGATTCTGTTTTTCCTCATCAGTCACCTACATCAAAGGACAACAAGAAAACAGACACACATGGGACTGTATCATACGTTAGAGTTTGTGCCCAAGCAGATTTTTTAAAAATCCATAAATAAAATAAAAAAATTATCCTGAAGTTTACAAGAAAGGTTTCGGCAAACCTACATCTGATGAAAGGTTGTCTTCAAATGTCTAAGCAACAAACACTACTTACTAGCAAAAACACAAAAGAGAAACTAATAACTAAACAAAATGGGGCCAAAGAACCTAAATAGACATTTCTGCAAAGAAGATGTAAGATCGAAAACAAGTTTTAAAAACTTAGATAACATCACAAATCATGAGCAAGATGTAAATCAAAACAACACACATCATCTCACTATAATTCATATGGATGTTATCAAAGCAATAAAATACATTAAAAGAGAAACAAATGCTGGTGTAAATTTCCACAGAGGAACTCATTTGGTAAGAACGTTAATCAGTATACATACTACAGAAACCAGTGGGAGGTTCCTCCAAAAGTTTAACCTATACCTACCACTTCATCTAACAAGTGTACTACTAAATATACTTTCAGGGCAAAAGAAATCAGTCCATGCAAGAGGCATCTGCCACCCTATGTGGACTGCAGCACTATTCACAATTGCCAAGACAAAGAATAGACTTACCTGCCCATCCATAGATGAAGGCATACTTGGTGGATGTACACAAATAGAATCGTCTTCAGCCAGAAAACCAGAATGAAATTTCATCATTTGGAGCCACACTGTTGAACCTGGAGGACATCATGGTATATGACCTAAGACAGGCAGAAAAAGAAAAACTAATGTAGAATCCAAAATAAAAGGCTTCACTGCACAGGTCTAGAAAGCGCAATAATAGTTACTAAAGGTTGGAGGGAAGAAGGGGGATGGGTAGAGGTCAGAAATAAACACAAAGTTACACTTAGATGAGAGGAATGAATTGTTCCTTGCTGTTCTACAGCCAAGTGACCAGAGGTTAACACAACATCACACCCTTTTCACAAAATCTGGGAGATTCCAAATGTTTTCACCACAAATAAATTAACAACTGTTTCTGATAATAGAGCCTGTAAATATCCTGATTTTATCATTCCTCTGTGTCTGCATTAATCAAAATGCCCCACTCGAATTCCCCCTATTGTATACCTTTACTATATGACCAACCTTTTAAAAAACTATGTAAATACGCAATGCTAAAATTCATGTGGACCACAAAACACACTGAATTTCCAAGGCAATTCTGAGAAATCCAAACTACCTCGGTTGTGTCACACTTCCCGATGTTAAATTTCATTGAAAAGCTAGGGACCCCATTCCACAGAGAGCAGTGGAACAGATTAGAGGACCCAGACGTAAACCCTCACCCCTAACACCATCTGATCTTCAACAAAATCCACAAAAATAAGCTTTGGAGGAAGGACTCCCTCCTTTCAATACATGGCGCTGGCGCCGCTGCTTTGCCCCACGCGGCTGCTTTGTCGCCGCCCCGGAGCCGCGGTTCTCCGTACAAAATACACCGGTCCGGGGGCCCTTTTGGCTGGCGATAGGAGCCACGGGAAGTCGCCCATACGCCGGTTCAAAAAGGGGACTGAGCAGAGAACCAGGACAGTAGATTCCAGGGCAAAAAAAAAGGGCCACTAACCTCAGTGCCGCTGTTTAAGCCAGCGCAGTGAGTGGCCGCCGGGGAAAACAAACAGACCCCGGCGCCTCTTCAACAGGTGACTGGAACACCAACTTAAAAAAGGCTCTGAGGCAGGGAGCCAGGCGATCAGGCTCGGCTGGCCCCACCCCCGCAAAAGAACAGCAACCAGAAACTCTGGATTGAGAGTCTCACAGCAAGCGCAGCTGAACCC